AAAATGCATTTCAACTCCAATACTTCCATCTTCTCTTGAACAAGAACACCCTTTGGGTACTTGGGCATCAAAGGGTAATGCAGCGCAAGGTAGAAGACAATGAACAATATCTTAATTTGAATGGTAGTTTTGACAATTTTTAAAAATTTCAAGTTGCATATGTCATCACGTGACCAGATAACTGACGGTCGGTTATCGAAAGGGGTTGTAGTGACACTTTTTGAAAGTTTGTGTACTGTAGTGACACATTTGAAAGTTCGGGTACTAACTTAACACTACCCCCAAAGTTTAGGGTACTAAAGTGAAATTTTCCCTTCAATGAATTTCGGTCGCACCAACGCATCAAATTTTTTATGGGTAAAATATAAAAACCTCTCCCAAAGGTTCTCACAATCTATCATAACCTCCAATGAGATTTGACTTATAGCAATGGAAAAATCTTCGATCTAAAAATCACATGAAATTTTCAATCTACCGGTTTAAAATTTCAATCAATGTACCATTGAGAGACTTTTGTCTAAGTGATTTACCATAAAAAAATGTCAATCGAAAGAATAGTTTACATTGGAAACAAGCAATTGGAAAAGTGCACCGATTTAGAGTTTTACACTGGTCTGCTTTTATATATGAAACAAACACGTATAAATGTGAATCAATGATGAAGTTTTACATTGATTTGCATTTACACCACAATCAAACCTCTTTTCTAGTCTTGTAGTTTTATAAAAGCTTACAGATACCTCTCTTTCATCATTGTTTTAGTAATGAAGTATCTTTTAATATAATTCAAAATGATAAGTTTGTTATTCTAAAGTCTAAACTTCATTTGACCTATGTATTTATAGAATAAAATTACAGTTATTATTTTTAATCTAATTCGGGTATTTTCTTAAATCATAAGAGAAAAAAGTTCTTTTGGAGTTATTTTAGTAAATTTTTACTGAATTGATAGATATAAAAGTAAAATGGATACTTTCAAAAAATTAATGCATTACACTAAGGTTATTATGCATTCAGAACTAATAATAAAAGGAAGGTAACTACGAGTTGATAATAAAAGGAAGATAACTACAAGTTTCTTCAATATTACAGGGGAGGTTTTTGTGAAATGCAACGTTAGGAGAGGTTTTATGATTGTCAACAACCTTAGAGGAAATTTTTATATTTTACGAGTTTTATAATAGACAACAAAGAGAGTTTCAACTGATGGCGTGGAATAATAACTAAATCTGTTATTTGCTCCACTTTACCAGCTCATCTATTTTCTTATCAATTGTTGATTGATGATTTTACTATGCACATAATTTTAGTCACTCCTGGGGTCCTGACTCATCCAAGGACCAAGGGAAATCCTCTTCGTGCAATAAAATAAAGGGGAAATTAGTAACAGATGAATGTACAAAGTACTCTTTGGTTTTCAAAACATAAAGTACCCCGGTGATATCGACCTAATGTGAACCTTTCATAATTTTAATGTGATATATCACCTAATGAGGAGTAATTTGGCCGATCAATCATAATGAAATGCATGGCGAATCTAAACTGTCTAAAGACACCTCGACGCCATGTAGGAATAGGTCAGATTGAGCCAGGTCAGCCTAAATCGGCATGTTGCCCTTTCAGCTAGGCGAAGCATGTCACTTTGGGAGAACAAGCTGAGGACTTCAGGTCCCGGCTTGATCTCCCCAATCTGGCCAACCAACGGACTAAGTAGCCAGTTGACCTCTGGGGTACCAACCTACGTGGCAGGCTGTTCATATCCAGTTAGCACATCCATCGGTTTTGAAATCAACGATGACACGTTGCCCACCTAATAGGGATAACCCCAATACTTGAAGGATTCAGAGAGATTGGATGAGGATCGTCACTGGAGCTGGTGTGACATGCTCTAAGGATAATGGGCCAATAAGGCCTACTGCTCCTGTATATCTTGGGCATGGCTCTTGGACCCTAAGGCATATAAATAGGCACACTCATACCTTCACAAGGTATGCACGATTAAGTGCAATCAAGCCTCTTGCTCACACTCCCCTTTTCTGCTTTCTACTTTCTAAACAATTCTCATAAGTTCGATTAACTTAAGCCTCTTGCAGATTCATCTATCAACCTTGTCCATCAATCATCCGAGCTATCCTCCAGTAGGGAAGTCGAGTGATTTGTGCTTCATCATCACCTAAACATTATGATGGTGCTTGGTTCTATTGTTGTTTACTAAAAAAAGTGGAGTCGGCTCATTGCCACATAGGTGTTTTTTAGGGTTCAACTATGATACTGGAAATACATTATACTCAGAAAACTTATAGCCAATGAATCAATAGGTACCAATCAGGTGGTATTCATCAAATTCATAGGGGTGCTTTAATTGGTCAAATCTCTTCTGATGTTGTGTCTTTCTGGTATCATAGATTTTCCCTTATTTTGAAATGTTGTTTGGTAAATCGTTTATTAAATAAACATTTGTCTTGGTTTGTGTAAAAGCCAAAAATTGGGGGAATCTTCATTTTAATGTTTTCCCTAACACCAAGGCATTTATTTATAATATATTCAGCTTATGTGGATTCTAATGGTGTCTAATGGCACCTAGCTGTAAAACAAGAACAAAAAACGTTTATACACCACTTTTCTCATTTTTCAAGATAAATCATGTACAAAACATTTATTAAATAAACTGTCATTTTTTGCCCTTTGATAAAATCAAATAAATAAATAAATAACTATAGTGCCATGAGCTCAAACTCCTACATTGGCTTTTGCATCTAAAGTGATGTTCTAACTTTTAACGGTTCCATGGCATAGAGACAAAAACAAGGGTGAGATGTGGGTATGATTTTTTACCACCAAGGCTCAGTTTGGAAAGAAAACAAATACAAGTATGTAGAGTGAAAAATCATGTATTTTGTATATATTTATAATGTACATATTTGTATTTGTACTCTTTCCAAATTGCACCCAAAGAAAATAAAAATGTTATTGAGCTGCAATGGAATACATGCACCCACTTTTTTTACCCTGCTTAAGTGCATAACTACATATGGAGTTTGATGCATTAAATAGCTCAACCTTAGAATAATGCAAGTGTAAATAAAGATTATTTGCACTCTTTTCTCAAACTTAACCTAAAAATAAATATTATTAAAAATAAGTCCAACGTTATGGAGATAAGAAACTCATCATCAAAGCCAAGCCTTTCGTTAAGGATTGGCGTAGTTTGAAAACAAATCATGATTAGAAAAAAGGTTCAAAGAAAATGACTAAAGCCGGAAAACATGAAGAAGAACAATTCTTCAGTGAATAGTTAAAAGGAAAAAATCAACAAAACCTCTATAGCTTTGGTCCAACTGCTCTTTATATAGACTTCTTTACATTCTTATGCCTTGTATAAGAAAGTTTCATAATCTAATTAAACTCTCCTTGTTAGAATTATACTAAATCTCATCAAGAAAGAAAGTCCTAATTAAAGACAAATTTAAAATCCTGTTATTATGCTAACCTGATAAATGTGAACCAATATAGATTAGACACAAAAATCCTAAATGAAGCTATCTTGATAAATGCGAATTGAGGTGAGTCATTGAAATCCACCTAATAAATGTTTACTTGGTTGGGGTGAATCTTGTACTGCATTAATGGGCATGTGACAATAGTTTTGCAACTAATTACTTGTTATCCATCATATATTTCACCTGCAACTAGTGAGCAGTAAGCCTTTGATGTTAAAAATAAAAAAAAGAGAGAGAAGAAGGGATGAGTGGTGAGATCCTTTATTTAATCGCCTTGTACCTGGTGCAAGTGTAAAAGAAGGTACCCAAGAATGGGAAAAAAGAGGGATCATATTAATACATAAATTGCAAAGAGGGTGTCATACCAATACACAATGTATAGACAATGAAGTCAATGACAATTATGCTCTTAACTTTCATTTGCAGCAAATGCCTCCTTAACTTTCATTTTGCAACAAATACTCCCATTCGTTGGAGTTTCTGTAGTTAATTTCGAAAAGGATTTTCATTTAGTTGTTTTTCTTTTAATTCCCAAGCTTTTCTGATTTATTTTAATGATTAATGATTTTATTAATTTTTTAAATATAATATTGAAGTCCTCTTAGATTTTTTAATGTTTCCTTTGACTTTTATTGACTTGTTGGAGAAAGGAGTGGATAATTTTTATATTTTAAGATAAGGAGATACATTATGAAACAAGAATTTAAACTTTTTTTTTTTACATGATGTCTTTGTAATTTACCTTTTTTTTTCCAACTTACTATTGTTTTGGCCTTTTGGGTATTGCTAGGAACTTTGCTTATAGGGGTGCAACTTGGGTAAGTCCAACTTGAACTCCAACAAACTCAGTCATCAAATTTACATGAGTTAAATTTGGATTTTAGGGCATCGGGCTCGTCTTTGGCCCAAAAATTTGGACTTATTTACCTATGTATATATATATATATATATATATATTTAATAAACAATATATAAATGCATATATATACGTTTACATGCATCCATATTTTTGTATATTAAACTTTAACGTAGGCTGATTGATCAATCCGAACCCAACCTAAATACATTTCGGATTGGGCTCGGATTAGACAGTTCGGACTTAACCTCAACCTCCACCCTTCTACCCAATATTAGGGTTGAGCCTGCATTGTTCGGCGCAGTCCGCCCGACTTGCACCACTGCGCGCTTTGCTTTCACGTTTATTAGTTGTTTTAGAATTCAGATTAGCTAAACGCTTTAGCTGTTCAGAACGCTGTGAAACCAATGATAAAGTTACACGCCCAGGGTCATTGTCTCATTGATTCAGCCTGCTGAACAGCTAAACCTTGCTCTTTCTTTTATAAAGTACGCACGGTAGGAATAGCATATATACTCTCACAGTAGGATGTTAACACTGTGATGCGTGATGATGGGTCCTGATCATGTTTTGAAAGTGTTAATCTACGGTTCTGATTTCGAGATAAGAGTTCAAGGTCTGTAATAGTAGGTACACGAGCAGGTCTATTTTAAAGGAAAGTTGAAAAACCGGAAGAAAAATCGCAAAATAAGTGTAGAACCCTCCCTTTCTTCTGCTCCAAGTCTGCAACTATTGTCCTCGCTCTGTGTTCTAAGCATCTTGAGCTGAGTCTGGTTGAACTATTTCTCGGGCAATCTATTTGCGTCTCCAATTTCTTGTAAGTTTCGGCTTGGTTGATTATTATAGGGTTTTGAGGGGAAAAAGAAAGGATTGTCGATATTTAGTTTAATCGATCCTGTAATTGAAAGCTTAAAACCTAGGGCTTCGTCAATGCAGACGCTATAATGGGTTCTTTCAATTTCGTATAAATTGTACCATTATTTCTGTAATTTTATTCTCCGCTAATTCATTTTCTTTTCTCTTAACCATGCAAGTCACGATGTATATGTTCTTTCAATTTTCCCAAATCTAGAATCTGGATTTCTCACTCCTGTTCTCCTTTGTGGTTAATAACCATGTTTAGTTTAAGGTTACTTATTTTGATGTAGTTGTCTTAATTTCTTTAATCACATATTCTCGTCTCGTCGCCTTTCACACTCTATTTTTATGTGCATTTTACTGAGGGTCTGACACTAAACCATGTTATGATCACTTACACATGGTTGTTGTTAAGCGCTTTGTTTTGCAGGTTCATCGGAAATCAGATATGTCTAAAGCAGTTGTTGATCTTCCTCCCAAGGGTGGGTTTAGTTTTGATCTCTGCAGAAGAAATGAGATGCTCATTTCAAAGGGTGTTCACCCACCATCTTTTCGGAAGACTGGAACTACCATTGTTGGTCTAGTTTTCAAGGTATGTGATTTACAATACCGTTTGTCTAAAGAGTGCCATTTATTGCTCATTCTTTCCGTCTGAAGGTTTCCATGGCATTGTAACGAATGCTGCATTCTAAAATTGAAATTTACCATAGATGATACTTTATAATTAAAAATTTACAATTAGAACAATGCTTTAAGCTAGTAGGCTGTTTAGCGTTTTATGTTTCTATTAAAGAAGGAAATACAACAGGATTATATAATCTAATGCCTGTCTTCCCTGTATAAAACAGGTTCAGATTCGGATGGCAGATTCAATTAGATATTGACAAGTGCAGCTGTGCTTATTGAATTTTAACTAATATTCCTCCCATCCAAGAGTAATTATAACAGGACATGTAGAGGGATAAGATGCAATTTGCAATATGTAAAATTCAAACCAATGGGAATTTGGTTTAAGAAGGTTCTTTAAAGAACTTGGTATAGTGCTTTATGGTGTGCATGTTTTGGAGTGTATATTTGACTTCAATATTGGGGATTGTGCATGAAGTGGTCATTGCCTCATTGGGTAAGGTGGAGTGTTATAGGGTAGCTAGATCTTTGCTTGGGTTGTAGAACCTATTGATGCCCAGATACAGATAGCAACATGAACACATATACAGGAGATGGTTACATAACTCTCCATTTCCTAAAATCCCAGATGAGGTATGGTCCATATGGACATAAATATGTATATTTCCATATAATGTAGATATATCATGCTTCTCTGTCTAGTTTTTGAAGCTAAGTATCATTTCTCAAGACTTATGTCCTTCCAAATTCTATTAAATTTCTAATGTATACAGTTTCTTATGGTATAATTTTCTAAATCATACCATTTTACATACCTTAAAAGCATTAATTCTATAGAGTTCACCTAGAATTGTCTATGCAGTTTCTAGTCTCATATGCATTGTTCCAACACTGGTATGCTAGGCATATACAGGAAATCTAGGCATCAAAGTGTAAATACAGGTATCTAGGTTACAGTTTTTGGAAGGAATGATAGCATCCTGGACGAACAGCTATTTATCCAATAGGAAGGTCATTTATTTATTGGGAGAATGACCGATCAGCCCAGGGTCAGAATTTGTAGGCTCAAAGTACTGCCAGGGTAGGTGCCAGCTCGGAATTGATGCCAATTCACGGGCGGGCGTTGGTGCATAGAGTGTGGGTCGTTGACCTTTTGAATGTTTATAGCTCTGCAGTGGAAATCGGAAATTTGTAGGCTCAAAGTATTTGGCTCATGTTATCCACCTTTGCCACCTACTGCTTGCATCTTTGTTTCATTGGTAAATTGAAATTTAAGCTGCTTTGGAAGTGCATGGATTAATTTGTAGATACCACATAGAAAGGCACCTTCTTTTGGAATATGAGAATTCCTGATGGATGAAAAATAATACTTGATTGGAGGTGGGAATGTGTCTTAGGACTGGGTTTTGGGAGGAATATGCTGTCCTCTGGTAGATCTGGCATGGTTAAGAACGTAAATACGCAATCATGGCTAATTGCTTTAAAAGAAAGTATGCGAAGTTGTGATCTAGCCCCACTTTCTGCAAATCCTTTGGTTGGCAAACAGAGATAAAAAAATACTTATGAAGGGACCATTATTTTCATTGAAATTTGGAGAGTTTTATATCAGACATTTTAAAAAAGTTGATCATCATGGGTTCCACTTAATTTGTCTCCCAGTTTTTCTTGTTTTCTAATTAGGTTTTAAGCTTCCTTTGGTTGCCAAGAAAATAAGAGAGTGAAAAAATTACTGAATTTTTTTAGGAAAATAGAAAGTGCACTTTGCACATCAAAAACAAAAACAACACAAAAAGTGCATTTGGTTGCACTGGATGTGTTTTCTAGCGGCAGAAGGTGTCCTCTATATTTGTCCCTCCTTGAGAAGTTGCTATGGTGTTTCAGGCAGGGGAATGATAGGCTATGGAAGAGGGCTTCGAAAGTAAATATTGATGCAGCAATCTAAGGTTGCAATGATGGGTAATTGAAAGGCAGCTAAGGGCCTTTAGTTGGAACTGTGTAGTGAAGAAATTTCCAAGAATTTTACAAGCACATTGCACTTCAGGTGGGAGTAGAAGGATCACATCAGTCAATAGAAGGATGTATTGCATGGTCCAACAGACCTATACCGAGATTTTTAGGTTTGTCTCATGGAAACAAATGGAGAGAAAGTAGCAACTAGCAAGTGATCGCTGAGAATCTATCTTGGCACTGTGTGAGTAGCAATCTCCTTGGAGGACTCTTCAATAATTAGGAGTAGACTAATTGGTGCTACTGCTAGAATGAATGGAATAGTTCATTTCCTCCATGTTTTAAGGAGATTAAAGATATGATCAGAACAACCAATAGGGGCCTTGTCGATTGAATCCTTTTTTATTTGCTCCTGCAAGGTGGAATAGATGTTACCTTCTCTTTTGTTTGGAAATATGTGGTTTTGACATTTTGTTTCTTCACTTTTCCATCAGTTATTACATTATTTGTAAAGGGGAAGACAAGGATACATATTTGAACACTAAAATCTAAATATTAAAGTCTATACATACGTACATATAGTGCCCAACTTCTATTTCTGATGCCTCTTATCTCCCTCTAGTTAACATAGATTGTCATTAGAACAACAATGCAAATTTTTTCTGTGATTTTTTTCAATAAAGAAAGTTTTTTTCCAGCATGAGTGTTATTGACATCAAAATTGATAATTCTTGATCTTCTTGGTATAACTACAAGGAGGCTTGTTCATGCATCTTTTATTTTATCATAATCCTCATCTTCATCATCTGAGCCTTGATCCTATTTGATGTCTTCTTATTTCATTAGATATAGGTTCTAATTCTTGGATCACAGGGTTTTCTTTGGGTTTATTAATTTGAAATTATCGTCAGGATGGTGTCATTCTTGGAGCAGATACAAGAGCCACCGAAGGGCCCATAGTTTGTGACAAGAACTGTGAGAAAATCCATTACATTGCACCTAATATTTATTGTTGTGGAGCAGGGACTGCTGCTGATACTGAAGCAGTAACAGGTATTTTTCAAGATTTATTATGGTTTGCATCATAACATGCATTTGGTTTTACAATAGTTACACTGCCGTGGAACAATATCCTTCATATTTTATTGTCATGTGGGTTTTTTTTATCAGTATATTGTCATGTGGATTCTTCATTTATAGTTGTCTTTTGTTAGACATGGTTAGCTCCCAGCTGCAGCTACATCGTTATCATACTGGTCGAGAATCAAGGGTTATTACAGCTCTTACCCTTCTAAAGTCTCATCTTTTCAGGTAAATATTTGTCACTTGAGTACTGATAAGATAAAAAACTAAAACATTTTACGAATAAAAAAAAGAAAAATCCGGAATGCTGTCATAGCATTATTTGAGTTTTACGTAGTGGAAGCATATCCTACTTGTGTCTAACTGCTTCACCTTTTGTCTAGTTACCAAGGATATGTTAGTGCTGCTTTGGTACTTGGTGGAGTTGACATCACTGGACCACATTTGCACACAGTAAGTTTAGGCATCCAAAACACCCCATCTTTTCTGGTTCTAACAATGTGTTGACCTTTATAACAAGAATGCCTTGTGATGCAGATATACCCTCATGGCTCAACTGACACTCTGCCATTTGCTACAATGGGTTCGGGTTCTTTGGCTGCAATGGCTGTCTTTGAGTCAAAGTTCAGAGAAGGCCTGACTGTAAGTCTGTCTGCTATTAGTTCAATTAAATAGTTGTAATGCACTTGTGATGTATAATCCTATTTATAAACAATCCAGCATGGAGGACTTACATGCCCTCAACAATTCAATCTCGAATTTTCAACATGAACCTTCCGGAATTTTGGTGGATATTGGATCCACATCGTAAGTGATAGCATGGTGGTGGTTTGCTATAGAATGTTCATCTTTGTTTTTTCTATCAAATAGATTGAACAACTAGTACTTTCCTTGTGATCTTTAGTAGGGAAAAGAAGTTTCCTTTCATTTTAATGCTGGATCCCAAGGTTCTAGAGAATTAATGACACTAGTTCATGATTCTGGAAATTTAGGTTTTTGGGTGTTTCTTTGCAGAGAGAAGAGGGAATAGAGCTTGTATGTGAGGCTATATGCTCTGGTATTTTCAATGACTTGGGCAGTGGAAGCAATGTTGATGTCTGCGTAATAACCAAGGTTTGTTTATCCTCATTGTATCCCACATTTGGAAAGTAGTTCTTGACTTGTTATCTTATTTAGCTATATATTTCTTTTGTTAATGCTGGTAATGCAGGGGCACAAAGAGTACCTGAGGAACCACCAGATGCCAAACCCTAGGACCTATGTCAGTTCTAAAGGCTACACTTTCCCCAAGGGTCTGACTGGTTAGTAATTACCTTCACTGATATATCACATGGAATTGCTTATTTATTTGTCAAGCATAAGTGGTAATGTTTGAAGTTCAAATTAAAATGTCTATATTAGTTTATTCACTTGTTTTTATTTTTACACTCAACTTGATTCAATTTTGCAAAAAAAAAAAAAAACTGCTGGAAATCTTGTGTCATGTCTAGGGGTGTGGTGCATGAAGTAAATAAATAATTTGTTCTTGCAGTCAACTGATACATCATCTGAAAAGTCATGACAGTATGATATGTGATCTTCCAATAACTATAAACTAGCTGATTCTAACCATCTGATCAGTTGATTTTGGTTGGTCATAAAATTCGTCAATCGAGAAGGGGTGTGGTCTAAGCAAATGTTTTCAACTTGTCATTGACCTGGATGGTTACAACATTTGACCTGTCACCTGGGGAGAAAATTGGTTGGCAAACTGTTGAGCTGGATGTCCTAGCACAAGTGAGTCAACTGAAAACCTATAGCCCTAGGGTTTACTGTTGACTCACTTGTGCCGCCATCAACATCTTGCAGCCCTCTACAGCTGAAACTGGATCGTTGGATTGTTCAATGGGCAAAGGTTCATACCTTGATGTAAATTTTATGAGTCCGGAGTCCCCCAACATGTCCCCCATTACATAAGAACTGAAAACATAGCTGTAGTTCCCTATTTCACATTCTGGAGAGAGGGATAGATGTCAATGACAACTAGTAAATCAGATCTAGGTTTACTGTTGACTCGCTTGTTATTTGTGCCACCATCAACATCTTAACAGCCCTCTCCAGCTGAAACCAGTTGCAATTCAATCACTTAAAACTCCAAACTCTTGTCTCAGGAATTCTTATTTCTCTTTGGTTCTGGCCAGTGATTTCTTCTTCCCTGCTTCGGCAAGTTAATCACTCCAAACTCCAAAGTCTTTTCATGTATTCTTCTGGGCTTCAGCAAGTTTGGAAGACTGAAAACCAGTCTTTTTCCGTTTGGTAATCAAAAGCTGGTAAGACCAAAAGATGTATGCATGGAAAGGCCCAAAAAGACCAATTTCGGGAAGCTTCAAATGAAGTTTTTTTTTGGTCATTCAAGTTTCAACGTGATAAATAGCTTCTAAATGCGTTTTTAAATGCCTGGTAGACCTAATCACTTGTCAAACGATCTCTGTCTTTAAAAACAATACCCCGAAAGCTGAATAATTAAATATGTTTTTTGGCCATCTTGGCTGCTGGAAAATCTTTCTAAAAAGACTTCACCAAGAGTTTAAGTGTTATGTGGACGTGCTTGGATTTATGACAATCTACATAATCGTGTGATTTATGACAAGTGTGCGTAACATGTCTATCAGACTATCAATTTCTTGTTCCCTTTTGGTGTTGATATCGTTAAATCCCATCTTCCTCCGTATTATTACAATATGTTATTGAATGCCAAGCTAACATGCTCTATTTCTGTTGACCTTTTTTATGGTGACAGAGGTTTTGACAACAAAGATTACTCCGTTGAAGGAGAAAGTGGAAGTTATCGAAGGAAATGATGCAATGGAAGAGTGAAATGCCCCAACCACGACCCGTATTTCATAGTGGAAGTTTGATTTTACCTTTCTCAGTTTGTTTTCAGAGCCTATCTATAAAGATTGCAATGGTAACAATGTACTTTAGAACTCAAATTAAACCAACGTTAAGTACTGTATTTTCGTTACTTTTCGATTTCGTCACCCTTCTCGGTCAATACTAGCGTAGATCCATTTCCTATTCTATTTTGGGTTTTGTTTTTTTTTTTCAGAATTTATATTGCATTTTCATATAAACATTTATTGCTAAAGTAGTTTCATAATTCTATGGATTCGTGATTGAACTGAAAAATAAGAACGTAATGCGAGTATGTGACAATAATTATTCTTTTCTAAACTACTTTTTTAATCATTATTTTCAATTTTTACGGGAACATCTTGAATCTGGGGTTATCTTGGATTGGGTCTGGCCGTCTGGGGCCCCATACGGCCATACCCTTTCACCTTTATAGTGAGTGAGTTAATCGGGACTCACCGTTAGATGGGGCTCAAGCCCCAAGCCCCAAGGAAAACATTGGGCATGTAAGGCCAGCATAATAAGATGATTTTAAGGTTAGTCTGGTAATGCACTGTTTATGTTGTATTTATTTTTTGACGAATTTCCTTTTATTACAACACTCTAGTTCATTTGGCAGTTGAGTTAATTTATTCGGGACCTTTGGGTAAATGCATTTAATTGGGTAGTATTACCCGAGAAAAAAATATTATCCGGATAAGTACATTTATTCATGTTATTTTGCTAGATGAGAAGTGAGAATTTCTTGAAGAATCTTTAATTTATTTTTTATGGTAAGAACATTTTACTATTACATAGTCTGGCCAATGTCCTCTTTCCATGGCCATTCTAGTCTTATTTACTTAATCCCCAGGTGAGTAAATTTTTTTCAGGTAAATTGCTAAAAAATTATTTAGGAGATTTTATTTTCATGGGAATTGCACTTTACCTATAAAAAACATGGGAAAATTGATCAATTTTAATATTGGCCATGGGATGGCTAGTAAGAACTATTGAGGAAGAGAAGACAAGATAGGTTGTCTTTTCTATGGATAGAGTTAAGGCTTTAGGGCCAGATGGTTTTATAATGGCATTTTACCAAGATTGTTGTGACATATTCAAAGAAAATTTAATAGGGGTTGTTAGAGAATTTGAGGATAAATATATGGTGAGTTATGTATTCAATGCTACATTCTTAGCTCTTGTTCCCCAAAAGATTGGTGCTAAACATCCCAAGGATTTTAGGCCAATCAATTTGGTGACTATAATTTGTAAGATATTGACAAATGAAAATATTGAGGAAATGTGGAGATCAAGTAGTTAAGGGTTTGTGTGTAAATTGGATTTAGAAAAAGGTTTATGATTTAGTGGATTGGAGTTTTTTATTGGTGTTAAGAAGGCAAGGATTTGAAGACAAATGGTGTCATTGGATAAGTAGTTGCCTAACTTCCTGTCATTACTCTTGGTGAATGGAGTGGTCAAGGACTTCTTCTTAGCCAATAGAGGCCCAAGACAATGTGACCCACTCTCCCTTCCTCTTCACACTTGTTGTTGATGCGTTTAGTAGATTGATCTCAAGAAGCAAATGAACGAGAGCTAATTAGGGGTTGGGGATTAGGAAGAAGTGTTATGGTGATCAACCTTCAGTTTGCATATGATATTATTATTTTTTGTGAGGGGAGTGATTTAAGAAAGGTGGGCAATCTTAAGAATCTAATAAGGTCTTTGAGATTGATTCCAATATTAGGATAAACCTTGAAAAAAGTTGTGTTGCTGGAATAAATTTGGAGGATAGGGAGGTAGAGTCCATTGCATCTCGCTTAGGTTGTGCCACCTCATATTGGCCTTTGACTTACTTAGGGCTTCCCTTAGGTGCAAATCTTAAAAAGAATAGCTTCTGGTCCCTTATTGTGGAGAAATTTGGGAAATATTTGGTAGCCTAGAAAACGAATCTATGGGGGGGTAGAGTAACTTTGATTAGGGAACACTTGTCAACCTTCCAACCTACTTCCTTTCAGTCTTTAGGATTCCCCCAAAGGAGGCTAAGGAATTGGAAAAGGTAACAAGGGATTTCTTGTGGTAACCAGGAGAGGTGAAGAAAGATCATCTAATTAGATGGGAGATGGTCAATAAAAGTAAGGAAGAAGGAGGTTTGGGGTTAGGAAATATAGTTTAAAAGAATGAAGCTTTATTAAAGAAGTGACTATGGAGATGGCCTCTGGATAGGGAGAGATTATGGCATGAGGTGGTGTTAAGCATTCATGGTTGCTCAAAGAATGGTTGGGATGTCGGAATATCTTGTCGAGTTACTCTCAAAACTCCTTGGAAGATGATACATGGTATTCTCCATTGCTTCCGTAGGTTTATCAGGTATGAAACTTGCTCTAGTACTTCTATTCGGTTCTAGGAGGATGTTTGGGTGGGTAGCCAACCCCTCAAGGATCTTTTTCCCTCTCTCTATTCTCTCTATCTCTTTACAAAAATGAGCCTATTTCAAAGTTTTTTCCCTAGTCCGGTACTTCCCTTGTCTTTAAATTGGAACTTTGGTTTTCGTAGGGGATTAAGGGATGCTGAATTGATTAGTATTTCTAAGTTGCTTCAAAATCTGATCAAAGAGTTTGGACCCCTCTTCCAAAAGGGACCTTGTGCTTTCTTTCTAAAATCCCTCATTGCTAACCCTAACCCCTTGGTTTTCCTAGTTAAAGAAGTCCGGATAAGACCTACTCCCCCCAAAATTGTTGTTTTTTGCTGGGAAGTATTCTATGGGAAAATCAACACTTTAGAAAACTTGCAAAAGAAGAGACATTATCTTTGCCTCTCCCCTAACTATTGCTTCATATGTAAGGCCCAAAATGAGAACTATTACCATCTACTGATCTTTTGCTCCTTTGTTGCAACCTTATGGAGTTGGAGCTTTAGTTTATTTGGATGTAGGTGGAACCTGCCGTCTGATGTAAGCATGTTGTTTAATCCATCTACTTTTGGGTGACACACAAAAAGAGGTAAAATCATGTGGAAATGCATCAAGGCAGTTATATTATGGACTTTTTGGGAGGAAATGAATGCTAGAACTTTCCTAGAGAAGGAAAGAAGTTTTTCTGAAGTGAAGGAATGTATCTTAACTAGAGTAATCCTTTGGTTGAAGATATTGGCCTTGTTTGCTGAATTCTCCTTCGATGATCTTTGGAGGAATTGGCTAGAAGTGACTAATACCTCTACTAAGAGGAATGGAAGGGTGGTAGAGTGGAAACCTCCTCCAGAAGGTGTCATTAAACTGAACTTCGATAGGAGCAGCCAAGGTAACCTTAGGCCTTCGGGTGTAGGGGTGTGCTAAGGAATAAGGACAGCAACATTATTTCCTTGTTCTTAGGATCGTTGGGAGTTGGAGACTCTACAAGAGTTGAGTTGCTAGTTGCTATTTAGGGGATCCAACTTGCTAACCAACTTGGTAGTAGGATGGTTGTTAAACCCGAATACTACTATTTGGGGCTATAGAGGCCTCTTCAAAAAAGTGAAGTGGCTAACCAACAATATGAGAGTTGATGTTAAATGGGTAAGCTGGTTAGCAAATACTATGACTGATTCTTTGGCCAAGCAAGGGGTATCCAAGAAAAGTCTTTTTTTGCTAGTTTGTAACTTGTTTTAGTAAGTCTGGAAATGAGGTTGCATCTCATGCCTCTCCTTGGGATGCTTGTACTCTTTTTCTTCGGTGCTTAAAATTCATTCATTTATAAAAGGAAAGTACAAAACCTTGTATTCTGTATTATTTTGTATGTATTTGCATTGTACATGTTTATATTTGTACTCTTTCCAAACTGAGCCTTAAAATCAAAATGGTTAGTCTTTGGTTATCCTTGCTCAAATAATCTACTAGTTAGCACTTAGGACCCTTCCAATGCCAATGGTGATGGGGAAGTTTGGTGTTTGAAAAAAACAGCTTGGGCTGGTATTTGAAGCCTCATGTGTATAACGCATTAGCATGGTTGTGGGTTAAAAAGAACTATATATAAAAGTGTAAGTGCAATGTGAAACTTTTTTGGACTAAAATTATCCTCTAATTCTTTGTTTGAGAAAGGGTATAAAAGTCATTTTATTACATCTTTAATGTCAGTTTTAATGGCTATTAAAATGCCGTGTATTTAGCCCACCTCTAGTAGGCTTTTAAGTGATACTTGAAACTTTACAACTCGATCTAATTATCACGTATTTGGATAATGTGTTTATGTAATCATATTTGGATTTTCAATCCACATATGGTTAATAACTCGGTCGGGTAACCCACGACCGCGGCCTGCCCCACCTGTCCAATAACAAAAGATCATAAAATTCTGATTTTATTGCATTCTGAATAGACGGTGGAGAAAAATTTGAAGAAACTTCACAAATAAAGTCTCAAATAGGAGGGAAAACTTTGCAGGCCAACTAGGGTGTGCATGAAAAATCGAATCAAATCCAGAAAACTAAATCGTAAAATGTGGTTAATCTATAAAAAAACGGCCATTTATATATTATATATATTATATATATTTATATTATATATATTTTTAATATATGTCACATATTTTCTATATATTATATATAAATATAAATTCATTATATATATAAATATATACTTATATTATATTTATAATAATTTATTTATAAATATATTATATATCATTTATTATTTATTATTTATTATTTATTATTTATAATATAATATTATACATATTTATATAATACATATTATAAATATAAAAAACTGAAAAATCGAATAACCAAACTAGTCAAAAATCGAAACTAGCAGACCGATTAACCGGTGGTATCAGTCCGGTTTTGATTTGGGGAAATGGAAAAACCGATACCATCGGATCAATTTGCAAAAATTGCCCATGGTTCAATTAACCAAACCATGGACACCCCTAGGACCAACAACCTCTCTGAAGAATATTCATGGAAATGCCACATTAGCATGAGAATGGGTAAAATAGTAATTACACCTATTTTCTTTTGACACATGGCGTGATGTTATAACTAAATCATATGGTTAAAATCATCCGATTAGGGTGACTTACATTTTTATTTTTTGAATAACAGTTGTTTTTTCTTTAAATTGGGAGGATCCCGATTTTTTTTATTTTTATTTTTGATAGAAAGAGAATCCTGATTTTTGATACATGGATTAACAATGGCCAAGGGCCCAGGAACCGAACGGTGGTCCCATACAATAATACGAGGAGGAGGAGGGAGAGGGAGAGGGAGAGGGAGAGAGAGGGAAAAAGGGAAAATTTGAGTTTTTAAAGAATTTATATATTACACATGATTAAATACGAATGCTAATGGTAAAGATAAAAAGTATTCATTATCAGAAGCAGTAGGAAATAGTATTAAAAAATAGTAAAATGTTGAGGTGTAAATCGAACCGTATCGCCCATGGCCAGGCCCGATGGTTCACGGGTCGTTATAGCCTGGCACAACCGATGCCGGGTTTGGGGTTTTAGGTTAAAGGGCTAGGCCGGTATGGCCTGTCGTATCGTTCCGCTCGTGGCCCATGAACTGGATGTCGAGGATTAGCTTGGTGTGGTGTTAGAAGCTTCTCGTGGGCTTGCTCGGATTCACGAGGAATACAGTGGGTTGAAGATACCGCACAGGAATGTGAAGTCATCGAACAGGTCGAGAATACCATTGAGCCGGTTGGCATGGAGCTATCGATTCTGTTTACAAAAATTTTATAAAATTTATTTTTATTTAAAAATATTGTTAACAGTCATAAAATTTCAATTGGTTGTAGGTAATGGCCGATTGAGCAGAGATTGACATGTCAAAATTTAAATGGACTCGAAGAGGAAATCCCTTCGAGTCCAAACATTGAATCCGGACTGCACAAGGGAAGAAAACATTCGGGACGGCCCACGGGCCCGTTTTACACCAACCCGGACTGCACAAGGGAACATATCCCGTGTACTTATTAGTTATTATTGACGGGAGATGTTCCCAATGCATGGTGGATGTGCCTGTGAGGCGCACATTTTGTGAGAGCAGATACCGTCACAGTGATATACTTCCACAATTTTTGACATATGAAAAAAGAAATTTCAGAGAAATTTCGACATGTTTCGAGGCTTTCGGCGAAGGAAAGGTGCACAAGCCGCAGGGCGTCGGCTTCGTATCACTTATCCCTTATTTTTTTATGTATTGGATTCATTCGCAACTGTGCCTTTTACGTGGCGTGCCGGTAATGATTTACACAGGTTCCACTTCTACATTTCTACTCCTCTCTTGTTGAGTGGTGAATGGTGATTACTGATTGGTCTCTCTGCGTCTGCGTCTGCGTCTGTTAGCTGGCTGCTTGCGCTTTTTCCGCTCCCTGATCAAGTAAAGTCATCAAGACGAACATTATCTTGACTCCATCCAGGACCGGGAGTCTGTACTCTGCGGACGTCTTGTCCTTTGGCTCTCTGCTTCGCAATCGCACACTCTGTATCAACACTTTGATTTCAAGTCTCATAGGTTAGGTTTTGTTCGTCGTCGACATGTCTTACGACTACCTTTTCAAGTATATAATTATTGGAGACACAGGTAATGTAGAAATGCTTGCTTGCTTTGTTAGTTTAATTCTCTTCGGCCTTCCTTATTTCTTGTTATTTTGCTTTTTTTTTTTGGGTTTTCCCTCCTCCTTTCTCCTTTCTGGTTCCAAGAACAAAGACTTGTTCCCCAAGTAGAAGCGCTAATTCTGCTTCCTTTGTGTTTTTAGGTGTGGGGAAATCCTGTATACTCTTGCAATTCACTGACAAGAGGTTCCAGCCTGTGCATGATCTCACTATAGGTGTTGAGTTCGGTGCTCGGATGGTCACAATCGACGGCAGGCCCATTAAGCTCCAGATCTGGGACACGGTTTGTACATGTTCTTTCTCTCCTTTCCATGACTTCTATTATTGGTTAGCTTTGAGTTCATGAATCAAAAACCTCTCTTAAAACATTAAAAAAAGAGTACATAGCAGAGTTCAGAAATATTGTGACGGACTTTTATATTATGTCATATACGAAAACAGCAAATCCAGTATTTGGACTTGCTTGATTAATGGTACCCAACCTAACAGCTTTTCGGTTAGTGCCTAGGAGGAAATAACTTGATAGGGTCAAAACAAATAAGCTGAAAACAAAGGTCAAAACAAATAAGCAGAAAACAAAGATAGAAAACCTAGAAAAAGGATTATAAAAAAATAGAACTCAAACTCAAAGAGCACATGTTTTAAACATTTGTTTACGGGGAAAAAGAATTTTAGAGTAGAGAACTAAATTAGGTTTTTTTGGTAGAACTAAACTAAATTGCATTTGAGATAGAAGACCATCATTAAGTCCTATGGAAAATATAATTAAGATTGCAACGAAATAAGCATAATTAAATGAAAACAAAAGGTTATCACTGGAATCGAGATTCAAGTAGTGAGATAAAGAACCCTAGAATCAATAGAGAAATGATGAACATTTAATAGACTAATTGGAAGGGCAGATGTGAAGGCTGGCACCTCTCATTGTGCAAGAATCAGAACTATATGTTTTTCTTTAATCAAAATTGCAATATGGTTGTGCTACTGAGAAAGTAAGCTTTCCTTTTTTTAGGCGTTGTCACCCTATAGGGTGAGAACCAAACAGAAAGAAAAGACAAGGGTAAAAAAGCTCAATCCAAACTTTTGTTCTTTTCTTTTTGGAACGCTATTAAGGATATTTGTAGACTTCTTTTCTTAAGTTTCTTAACCTCATATTTCATATATAGAGAAATTTCAAAATTATACTCTTTCATTGCAACTTTTGCTAAGATTTGTTTTCCTAGCAAAACAAATTCCAAAATTAACATGACAATTCTTTTTCCCAAAATAAAAGACAATTAAGGCTATGCTTGTTTTTAGAGGAAGATATTGAGAAAGAAGATAATTTTCAGGATTTTACAATTTCTCTGGTACTTGATTTAAAATTTTGAATTCGTAGAAAATGTTACTGAGAATTAGGGAAAACATGGAAAACAACTTCTTGAATTTTCAATGGCAAGTTTTCCCCCTTAAAATACAGAATGAAGACTTGGTGTTCCTACTACTCTATTGAAACACTTTGATGGTTTGATACAAAGACCTCTTTTTGGAAACTTTAGAGGTCTTTGGGGTTCCTGTCTTATCTGAGAATGCACCTTCCATATTGCATAGGACCAGCTGGTTGGTAAGGTCTCCTGCTGGTTGTAGTGGAGACTTGGGATCAAATCCTGCCTGCACCTGGGCTGGGGGGGGGGTATGGGTTGGGGTATAGGCTACCCCCGTTGTGTAGCCCTTCAAAAGATATCAAAAAAAGAACTGGTAGAATGATAAGAAAATAGAGATCTTGTGAAAAACAAAGTACTTCATTTTTTTTCAATTTTGGGAATATCGATGTTATGAAAATTCTTGAGGCTTCTATCAGATTTCAAAAATTTGTTACAATTTCAGTTTGAATTCAGGTTAAGACCTGCTTCAAATTTGAAATGTATACCCTGGTCATGTTGGTAGACATGCTAAGCGATCTTAGTGTTTTAAAAGCACAAGGTGAGGCGAATGCCTTTTTGAAGCAAGGTGCAAACTTTAAAAAAATGCAAACAAAAGCAAAAAATGTAAAAATAGTATTAATTAAAAATGTTAAAATAGTATTAATTAAAAATGCAAACTTTAATTTTAAACTAAATGATTTGAAAAGCCTATTAGCTCAAATTAAAATACACAAACATAACAATTCAAGCATGTCAAACTTTCAGTCTCTTTATTTCTTTCCCAATACATGATTTTAAACATCTTTTATACCTTCTTTGAGCTGCTTTTGTGCCAAGTGAAAGTTGTGATCACCAAGCCCCTTGAGGCAAACCCAAACAAGTCCATGTTAGGGTCTTAAATTCTTAATCCTTGTAAAAAAAAAGGTTTTATAATTTTAATTATAGTTCCTTTTCTTAAAAAAATGTCTTGTATTAAGAAGAATGAACTACATTAGCAAAAAGGGGGTTCTCAGAGCTTCAGTGGGTGAGTGAAGGGAGTAAGATTTTTTAAAAGATAAGGAACTATAATTAAAATTATAAGATTATGTTTTGGTAAGGATTAAGCATTTAAAACCCTAACATCTACTTGTTTGGGCTTGCCTCAAGGGGTCTTGGCCGGGGGTTGGGGGTGGAGCCCTGAGCCAGCCACCATCCTTCTAAAAGCGCAAAATTTAACCAAGGCACACACTCCTGAGCTAAGGTGCAAAGTGCACTAGGTGCACACCTTTTCAAAGGGTCTTCTCCTGGGCCTAGTCAAGGTGCAGACCTAAATGCACCTAACCTGTGCGCCTAGGTGTGCCTTTTAAACCATTGTGTGATGTTGCCAGTAGATGGTGCACTATCAAGGTACCATTGAGTGGTTGTTGTATTCTTTCAATTCGACATCTCCTGAACTGGATAGAATAAATTGATGTTTCTGGAAGCATTTGTTATCCTGAAGTGGATGGGATTTGCAGTTCTTAGTGTTGCATGGGCATGGATAAGAGGAATTGGAATCAGATACATGTCTGGGAGTTGACTTGGCAAGTTTTCTTTTTTGCTTTTCAAACAAGTTCAACTAATAAATAAACTATTAATGCAGTCTCTATATTTTGAATTCTGGCATCATGTACCTGTAGAAAAATGTCTAAAAGTTTACCTTTGTATTTTATTTAAGGTTCTATACGGCATCATCAGGTGCATTATCTGTTCAATTACATCAAATAAGGAAGGAGAACAATGAAAGTGTCACACAGAAGTGTTCATTATGAATTTGGGGAATGTAGGAGGTCAAAATAGACACTAGTTTAGGGAGTCCATGCAACATTGGCTTCTATTTCTTCAGCTTTAATTTGCTATTCTAGTTTGCAGGAAATATACCTTCTGTTCAGTGATTCTCTGAACATTTAATGATGTGATTACTATCCCTTATACTCAATAATCATTTAGAGAACCAAGCTAGTGTTTTTGCATATATTTTTTAACTAGTAATTATCCTTTTAAGAATGATCAAATAAATAAGAAAACTCTAATTTTTTATAATTAGAGTAAGTTTCTTGGGACACATGGATTTGAGATTGGAGCTAGCAGATGTCTGATTTGCAGACATGAGGGACATGTAAAATGACACTGCAAGAAGTTGATAATTGCCAATAGATTTGCCAAAATTTGAGAGTAAAGTCTGGTACATTGTGTTCGATTTTCTTGATTTATTTAATGTATTTAATATTCTTGATCGATGAAATAATGGATGTATCAATCTGCTATTTTGTTGTAAAGTAATTTTTCTTCTGCAAATATTGAATATCAAATGGCTCGTTAGGTCTTCAACCGATATATATGAACAATCTAATTCAAGAAACTTGGGCCCTCTTGCAGGCTGGTCAGGAATCTTTCAGATCTATCACTAGGTCTTACTACAGAGGAGCAGCTGGAGCACTTCTAGTTTATGACATAACCAGGTATAAGGTTTCATTGTCTTGCTTGTGTTTATTATTATTATTTTTTTTACTTTATTATTATTTTTTTTTTTGGGGGGGGAGGCTATATTATTTGCCTTTCTAAGTAAGTTGGTGATCAGATTATTCTGAATCTTTTATCTGAAGTGCTCTCGGATCCTTGTCCAGGAGAGAGACTTTTAATCATCTAGCGAGCTGGCTTGAGGATGCCCGGCAGCATGCTAACCCTAACATGACAATTATGCTCATTGGAAACAAATGTGATCTTTCTCATCGAAGGGCTGTTAGCAAAGAGGAAGGTGAGCAATTTGCAAAGGAGAATGGACTTATATTCATGGAGGCATCTGCAAGAACGGCACAAAATGTTGAGGAGGTTGTATCTAGACCACATTTGATCCATTTTATATTTTGTTCTGATTTCGTTCAAGTATGCTTTATGTCTATACACCACATCTGGCTTCTTCTTTCAAATTCTCATATATTAACAAATTTTAGAAAAAACAATTCCAGGCCTTCATCAACACTGCTGCAAAGATCCTTCAGAAGATTCAGGAAGGTGTCTTCGATGTATCGAATGAGGTGAAGTACTCCCTTGCTTCACTGCATTTTGTTGAGATTTTGTAATTTGTGAGCATATCTTTTATTGGCAGATATCCCTGAAATATGTGTATCATGTGTAGAGATCATAAAATAACCCCTTCATACATGTCTCCACTTCTCCAAACACATACAGACATATACTCCCGGTGTCTTGTTGATCTACCTGGAAGCTTTGTGTGTTGGAGCTTAAAGTCATCCAATTATGTCATACAAGGAGAAATTCCACTATCTTGTGATAGTGGACTTTTTAGAACATTGGGGACAAAGGATGCTGGAGTATAAGTGAGGCAGGATTAGGGGTGCAAATGGATCGGATTGTGATCCAATCTGATCCTATCCGATTTGGTTGAAGTTGGATCACCCCTGTTTGGATCTTCGGATCGGATCAGATAATATAATCCAATCAGAAATTGGACCGGATTCGGATCACCCCTATCCAATCTGAGTAGATCCAATCCGATATATGTTATATATTTATAAATATACAATACATATATATGGTATTTATTTATTTATAAATATATTTTTTATATTATATTTTATAAAATTGTTATATTATTTTTTTTTATAAAAAACATGTATATATATGATGAAAATAATTAAAAAATACTTATACTTTTTGTTTTTGCTTTATTTAAATTAGTATATTTTATTTTTCTTTTAATAATTTATTAGTTTTTAAAGAAAACAAGTTGGATTGGATCAGATTTGAAAATCTGACATACCGATAGGATTCAAATTCAAATCGAGTCCTATCAGATCCGATCGGATTCAAATATACCCTGATTTGAATCCAATCCGATTTGTTTGCATCCCTAGGCAGGATGTTTGTTCCTTGACTTTGTTACAAGGGACAGACAAGGTGGAAAAAGGGGCAGGGAATTTGGAAATGTTAAAATCATAAAACATTCTCCCAATCTTCATGGGCACTGTAACTATAGGGAGGCTGCTGGAGCATTAAAATGGCCTTTAGAGGGTGAGTTTCAGATAGAGGTAGGTCTTTAATTGTTCTATCTGTACATGGATTTCAGAGGGGTGGAAGCCTAGAAGAGCTTAATGGAAAATTGCTTGGTAGGATGGTTCAGAGAACCAACACCATGGCTGCAGGAGGCAAGGTTCAAAGTATCGATACGTATCGTGCCGATGGCTTACCGATACGCCCCTCCAGGGGTTGTATCGGGTCAGCCACCGGTTCAGAGGGTAGTCGGGCCTTAAATTGAACCCTCGGAACCGGTTTTGAAAAAAAAATAAATAAAACTTAAAAAATGTTCCAACACCTTGGCAGGAGGACCAAAGTTGGATGTCTCAGAAATAGAGTACCTTATTTCAAGTGGCAGTGTGGCCAATAGAAGATAACCTCTTTATTTCCTCTTTTATCTTTGAAAAAGGAGGCTAATAGGGTGTTAATGAAAGGCAAATGGATGTTTGGCAAGTTGAAGTTGTGTCTGGACTGTTGGGTTTTGAGCACAGAATGCTGAGTGGCGAAGGATGAATTGCCTAAATCTTAATGGATAAGGGCATTGGGTCTTCCCTAACACCTATGGAACCTAGAAGTGCTAAAGGCTATTGGTATCTGTGGTGATTTCATTAAAATTGACAATTCCAAAGGTGTTAAACTAGCTGGAGATTGGGTGAGGAAATGAGGACATTGGTTACTGGATACTGCATGGATACTTACAGATAAGGGTGTCAATGGACTGGTTTTGGATTGGACCCCATCCAGTCCAAAATCAATTTGGACGGATTGGACGGACCAACAAGACATATTGGATTGGACCAATCCAGTCCAAAATATTTATTAGATTGGATTGGACCTGGTCCGTCCATAATAAATTTATATTGGATTTGGTTGGATTAAACCAATATCTGGTCCATTGATACAAGATAAAAACATAGGTGTCAATGGACCGGGTTTGGGCTGAAACCAATCTAAATTAAAACGAATTTGAACAAATTGGACGATCCAGACGTTGAATTGGACCGGTCCAAAATGGTTCAAAATATTCATTGGATTGGATTGGACCTGGTCCATTTGTAAATTGTAATGGACTCACATTGGACTGGATTGGATTGGACCAAATCCAGTCCAATTGACACCCCTACTTACAGATGTGCTTTATAGCATTAACACTTCTAAAATATGTAAAATGGTATGTCTTAACAATTTATATTATAAAAAGATCTGCACATGTTAGAAATTTAATTAAACTTGGCAAGACATAATAAAATCTTGGAATTTTAGGGGCTAGGGAGCCCCAAAGAGAAAAAAGGAAATGATGAAATCAGTGTTGCGAAGGTGGAGGATTAACATAATAATTCTTCAAGAGACTAAAGGAGATGCAGAATATCAATTAATAGATGAGATTTGGAATATTAGAAGTGGTGGGCGGGCAGTTTAACCATTAATTGATTCTTCTAGAGTTATTCTTATTCTATGAGACAAGCCACCGTTTGAAGTATAGGGTTTTAATGTGGGATTACTCTCATTTTATATTCTTTGAAAAAATGTAGATGACTGGGAAATTTGGATGTTCACAAGGGTATATTGGGCCCTACATATGGTTTCTTGTGTAGAATTGTGCGGCCATCCAGCAAAATTGGGGAGCTCCATGGTGCTTACTATGTGATTTCAACATTGTTCTCTGTGCGTGTAGCAGGAAGGGGATGGGAGCAATATGCTTGAGTTCAGGGTTTTCTTGATAGAATGACTCTAATATACCTTCCCTTGATAGAATGGCTCTAATGCTCCTTTGTCTTGCTGGACATATTCCTCATTGATTGAGATGGGAGGTAATGTACTCAAATGTTATACAAGAAAATCTTTGATGGCCTATCTTGGATCATTTGCCCATAGTGTTGTGAGCAGGTATAACAACCAGGAAGCCTGGACCTTTTTGCTTTGAAGTATCTATAGGTCTATGCAATATGTCCGATATGGGGCGTATTGTATTCGTTTCAAAGGCCACCGAAATGCAAAATATTGAGAGTTAGGGGATATTAACAGTTTGGGTTTTGAGCTGTCAATATCCATCCTAATAAACCTATTTTCAAATAAAACCTTTTGATGGATACATCAGACTAACTACTTATCAAGAAAACAAAATTCCACTATCTTCATCCAAGCATTTCTTTGGCAAACAAGCTTATCGTTTTCATGGTCTTTGATCTGGTTGCAGTCTTCTGGGATCAAGGTTGGGTATGGGCGTCCTCAAGGTCCAACAGGAGCACGAGATGGAACAGTTGCTCAGAGGGGGGGATGCTGCAGCTGATAAAAATTTATTCGTCATTGAGCATTTTTTATCTACCTACCAAACTTCACCGCTGGCATGTTATTCCTGGGAACATGAAATGTACATTTGTAACTCTACTTGAATTTTTTTCCCAGAAAAAAAAGCAAGAACTCTACTTGAATTTTCAGTGTTCTTGTCAACGTAATTCTCGTTCATGCAACTCCCTGTTAAGCAAGAATAAGGCTGCGTTAGTTTCTCCTATGGTGGACATAAAACCAATATAAATGCACCAGCTATTATTTCTGATTCCTCTACAGCCAAAACTTTAATTTTTACCCCTTATATTTTTATTGGCATAAGGTTTTATATTTTTATATGTACAGTGTAAATACAAGGTTTAGGAATATCTTATATAAGGTTTTATTTGTGCTTGCACTGTACCTATTTTGGGAAGAGTGCAAATGCAAATATGTGCACTCTTCTCAAACCAAGCCTAGATAACAAAGCCTTCGTGAAAGGGGCAAAAATATATATAAAAATTTTCGGCATTAATGTTGGAACAAATGGAGCCATACACTAAAACTTATGAAAGTTTTCATTTTGACGACTCTGCCGTTTAGATTGAATTTCAATCTAAACCTAGACTTAATTGAGTGGATGCACCTTATAACTACTATCCACATAATCTAAACCTAGACTTAATTGAGTGGATGCACCTTATTGCAGTAATACTTTGATCTTTCCTACAAGCTTCTTGTGCTGTTAATTATTTTGAACCATTGGCTTCCAGGGTCACATGTAGGATCTCCCAACAGGCATTGGCATGGACTAGTGATGATTTTGTTCTTAGAATCAATATCCAAACAAACAGTACTACCACCAGCTAGCTTAGATGCAAGGTGCATTTTGGAGTCTGTTATTGGCATCCATATCGAACCCGGACTATTGCAGTCTTGAAGATTCGCTCGTTCGCCCAACCTATCACCATGTAAACATAATCCTGTTCCTTTCACTTTTATAGTCATTTCGGGTGTATAAATCCACGATGCAGGTTCGTCACAAGAGCCTAGCTTCAATTGCTTCTTTTGTGAAGCTCTCTGGACGCAAAGACCAGTCAATGGATGGTACAGTATTTGGTATGGAGTGACTTCATCAAGGCCTGGCCCTGCATTTGACAACAAATTTAATAGAAAAAAAAGTAAAATCAGAAAAACAAAAATCAGGTTCTACTGTGGGAGATGTGAAAATAAGATCCAATAGAAGATTGTCCCTTTCCTACTTCATGTTTAACGCACTGTGTTGATTTGTGATTTGTATGTACCTCGAAACGCAGATCGAATTGATGAAAGCCTTCGAAGGAAGGTTGAATTCCGAGGCCCAGACCAATCCCAATTCATAACTCCATAAACCTCTTCCAGGCCCAAAACCCCTTCTCTCAGATAATAACTTCCCATAAGAGTCCACAAGGCCCAGTCAAAATCCAATTCAGCTGCTACTCCAAAAATGCAACTCGAGTACCTGTTGTCCTTCACGTTAGTGCCCCTAAGATCTATCCCAAACTCACTGACGAACAATGGATATCCTTGATCCAGCACAAACAGTATTTTGTTCTTCAATGCATTAACTACTCCACAGACCTGGTTCGGATTGCCAGTCGCCCAAGCATTTCCATCTGAGAATGAATACCAGTGAAGTTCAAATACTAGTTTTCGAGTGAATGATAGATTCACTGGTTGATTGTGGAGGAAATGCAAGTCTTTGTCGAAATCAAGACCAGAGAGTATAGTGAGAACGTTGGGATTGGCTTTGTGCACCGCTTCAGCTCCAAGCTGCATGTACCTAATGCCATGATCATGAAAATGGAAGGCAAATTAGTATAAACACATACATAATCATAAACATGTTTTTTGTTTTGAGAAACGATCTGTTTTCAAACCAAATGGCTTTGATTTGTCTCTAGAACATGCAACAAGAAAAACAATTTAGGCTTGTTTGCACTAGTACAAATGTATAGGAATGAAAATGAAAAGAATGCAAATTCTCATTTAATTTTGTTTTGGGTTTTACTGCTTCGGTCTTATTTTACTTCATCTGTATTGAAATCCAGTGTTTATCAAACTACTGTTGATCCGGACAGTCAGACTGTTTGGACTGGAAATCGTCCAGGCAGCTAGTTCCGTTTCACCCTTAACCTGGTCAGTCCTTGGCCCAAAACCATTGATTTGGACAGCGACCTGTTTGACTGTCAGTCCAGGCAACCAGTTCCATTTTACTGTCAAACCTGTTTGACTGCTCAACAGTTTTGGCCATTCTTATTTAATCATTTTTCTTTTTTAAGTTTGAATGAGCTATCGGTTCGAACCAGATGGTTGAACTGTCAAACCAGGAAACAGGTGGCCAGAACAATTCTGGTTCCAGGTCGATTTTTAAAACCTTGCTGAAATCAAACAAAATAAGGTAAGATTTGAAATAAAAACTAAACAAGAATTTACACCCAAATAATTTGTACTATCATAGTTTTGCATCAGTATAAATTTATTTGCCCTGAAACTGAACGCCGCCTTAAGTTGTAAGCCCTCTTAATCGATCAAACAAGTTATTCTTCTGATGCAATTGCGTGGGCGTACAGCAAACTCGTGCCTTGGCTAGACGATTCAATTGCGATTACCGATTTTTCAAAACCAATAACCCCAGTTCAGTTTCAAAAATAAGTCTACGGTTCAGTTAACCGAACGATGAACATCCTAATCGGCTGTACATGGGAGAGGTCAGGGGGGGGGTTGGTTCATTAATACCAAACGCGGTTTGGACAGGGCTAGTGTTTTTGTTCAAGGATAAACTGGTTCTTTTCACATTGCGTGTATTGGATTAGCATTGCAGAAAAGGTAGATAGTTCTTTTGTCCCAATTCAAATTCGAATTTCATTCGATTAAAGCTTTTCAAATTGGATGAGTTTTTAATTGCATTTGTTGCTGTCAAAATGAAGCATGATACCTTATGTTCATTAATGGGGTTTTGTCTTCATTATGAGAAAACCCTTTTATTTATTTTTGGTTGGTGGGGTGGGGGGGGGTGTCATTAGAACTGAAATGAGAAGATACGTACTTGTACCAGATGCTTACGTCCTGGTTGGGCCCTCGGAGCTCATTCCTTAAGCTCATGCCGATCACATTGGAAGTGCCATTGAACAAGGTGGCCATTCGGGTCAGTCCCTCGATCCAGAGATTCGGGTCAAAGTAGATATCCCCAAAATATCCATTGCCGTCTGTGTTGGAACAACACCACCCGGGCTTGCTTATGTGATTATCTAGTATCACCATCACGCCATTCTCTCCAAGATTGGATACCACTGTCTGAGTGAGTGAGAGTGACACCATTTATTTGTTGTAAGTGTAACAACCATTTCAACTACGTACTCATCCAAACCAAATTAACTATTTGAAACGAGTTGCTATTAATAGGCTTTTGGATCAGACAAAACAACAATTAATGAATATATAGAGAAGAAGGGATCACCTGGAAAGCTTGGAGAATGGTGAGATTGAGCATGGATGGATTGTTGACTCTTATAGCGCCGATGGATTCTAAGAGGCCAAGGCTCTCAAACGACTGTTGGACCGTCATCGAGGATAAGGTGTCGTTGGTTGCCATCCAGAGTGGCCATGTAAACCGAACACAGTTGAACCCCATTGCTACGATCTGCTTTGAAATCACGTCTAATGGTTGCTTGTTGAGCCCCTCCGCCAGCAATGGTTGCAGGTGTGACGCCCAGTTCACGCATCCCAACTTCACTCGTTTCCCGGTTTCATCGACGATCCAACGGGAATCGGTGTAAAGAGGCAGGGCCTCCGTCGCAATTGCAGGCTGCACAGCATTGGGCGAGAGAACATGAAAACAAGCAACTAGTAAGAATAGGATCTTCTTCATCATGTTGAAATCAACTAGCAAGAATAGGATTTTCAACTGCTGAGCTCTACCCTTGTGCCCTGCTATAGAGATAGTGTTATGGGAATTGAATTGGAATGGTTAAACAAAAATAAGAAAGTTGGGACGAGATCGATGGGGCGCCTAACTGGCTTTCTTTTTATAAGTACGAGACCATTAAGCCCAATTTATGACCAGAAATTGGAGTAGTTGGTTATTTATAGAAGCAGAAGTAGCTTCTCTTATAGCTTTGGTCATGGCCATGGTGTGGCGCCCTCCAGCCCTCCACCTTGGGTGCCAGTGCAGTCACCGGAGGCTATATATATCCTGTCTAGAGTCTTAGATCATTTGATGACACTTGCAAAGTTCTGATCAGATTGATGATTCAACGTATTGAGGCTGCGAGTATGTTGCAGCAAGGGTTTTCTCATCTTTTAGGCCTTGTAGAGTGAGAGTTTATCTGTTTATGTATGGAAAGTGAGAAACTGCTCGTCTTTGTATCTTTACTATTTTACCTCGAGGATTATTTACTCTGCCATGTTGTGGTTACCTGTTTTCTTCTTTACCTTGTACGTTTTTTTAGTATCTCTGTATTTGTTTCTTGGTTGCCATTTGAACTTGGTGGTGTTTCACCAGCAGGGGTTTAAGTCACTTGGATTCATTTTGCGAGTTCGCTTTTTTTATTTTTATTTTTTGTTTGTGCGAAGCTATCATTCAAGAGCATTCTGCAATTCTACTCTTCTGGCCTGACTGTGTTTTCTAGGACTTTTTTGGGACTGTGTTTCCTGGAACTTGCAAGTTGCGACACAACTGCGAGTTCCACGAGATCGGATTCAGCTTTTTGAGTACTGAATCCAAGTTTCAGTTTCACGCCTCGGAACTCGCATAATATATATTAAATTATCAATTGCAACTAAGTTAAAGTAACCCCTTCTTTCGAAAAAATAAATAATTAATATTTATTTAAAGGAAAGGGTAGGGAAAGAAAATGAAAGGTAGGAAAACTCGTATAAGTATTTTTTTTCCTTTTAACCGAACACAACCTAAGGGTATTTTTTTTTTTGAGAGAAACCTAAGGGTTAATTTCAGAAGCCCCTTAATCATGGATGGTGTGTCACTTTACTATCTAAACTATGAAAGGTTTCAAAGGCCCCCTTGAACTTTTACATGTTAAGGGTGTTCAGATATGTGCCCTACAAGGGAGCGCCCCACAATACATCCCCGTCGTGTATTGGGAATATTCCCATTAATAGTACCAAAATAGATGATGTCATCATCCAAAGATGTTTCTAATGCATGGCAGGGATTTGCTGTGGTACATTGTGGGGCACAGATGTGAACTCTTTAATGTCTAGAGGAAAATGATGATATTGACTATGTTTGGTTCTGTGAGCGTTTATTAAAATTATGTTGTTACATTGCGCCAAATAGGCATTGGTGTTTATTATAAATGAAAATGCTCTTTAGTTTCAATGTTTTTCAAATAAATACTAAAAAAATATAAATGCTTGAATTTATGTGCATAATACATTTGGAGAAACATCAAATCCTTGTTTCCTCCAATACCCCAACAGTTATTTGAAATGAAATGCTTATAAAACATACTTTTGAGAAAACGTAAAATCCTACATCAACAAACACCATCTACATAGGGATTCCCCAAATGCCTTGAAATGGGTGAAACAGATTCCTCTAACCAAACAACATCAACATGAAACGAAGTAGACATATTCTGGGGTCCATAAAAATTGGTTTATTCTAGGTTCAGAAAGCATAAAAGTTTTCAATTCCTAAAAGCGAGATACGTTTCAATTTTTTAATACTTTGCGTTCCACGCAACTTCTGAACTTGAGTTTTTACAATTAGGATTTCCAAGATTCTTCTTCATTTTGACAACATGAATTACTTCTGATTAAGGGTTTGTTTGATTCACAGTTGGAATTAAAATTGAAATCAGAAACAAAATCTCTTAGAATTAGAATTGGAATGATTTATTCTCATAATTTGTTTGGCTCTTATAGAAATCGGAATCAGAATTTGAATAAAATAGAATGGGATTTCATTCCTAAGGGAGGGGGAGGGATTGACCTTTCCCTCAAATGGGGGAATGACATTCCAACATGAATGAGAATGAGGTTTGGATTCCATCCAATCAAACAGTCATTGGAATGACCCATTCAGATTCTGTGTCCATATCCCTATTCGGAAGAACCAAACGGGCCCTAATTTTTTATCGAGTGTATATTTATTACACCTTATTACAAAGTTTAATGTTCTGCATTACTGGCTTCTTGTGCTATTAATGGTTTTGAACCATTTCCTTGCAGGGTCACAAGTACTATCTCCGCGCAAACATTGGCATGAATTTGTGGTGATTCTATTGCTAGAATCAATATCCAAACAGACTGAGGTCCCATTTGCGAGATTAGATGAAATGTGCATTTTAGAGGCTGATATCTGCTCCCATCTAGAACCAGGCCCACTGCAGTCCGTTCCAACCTTAATGGTGTGTAAATCCAGGCTTCAGACTGAGCACAGGGACCTAACTTTAATGGTTATGTCAGAGTGAAGCTTTCTGTACGCAAAGCCCAGTCAATGGATGATACAGGATGGATGCTGTATGGCCTAACTTCAGACAAACCTGGTCCTGCATCATATATTAATAGCAATAGACGTTTTAACATCTCATCACAGTAGGACTCTGTTGCACCCATGACCATGAATTCAAAGAAAAGGGAAAAACAGCAGAGCTGGTTGTTGAGTCAGGTCAGAAAATAGAAAGGAAAAAGAACTGACAGCGCTGTCTGAACCTCTGAGGAGTGAGTCTGTGAGTGTGAGGGCCCTAACAGAAAAGTATAGATACCTCGGAAAGGAAAGGAGATTAGAAGGCAGTAAGCCTTTGCAGGAAGGTTGAATTCCGGGAGCCGGCCCAATCCGAATCCAGAACCCCATAGCTTTCATTGAAGTCCAAATTATTCCCATGTCTCAAATAATAACTACCCATCAAAGCCCACAGAGCCCAATCAAGATCCAATTCAGCTGCAACACTGAAAAAGCAATTGGAGTACCTATTGTCATTCCTTTGATCATTAATCCCAAACACACTGACAAATAATGGGTACCCTTCGACCTTGATCTAACACAAACATTGCATTTTTGTTCAATGAATTTACGATCCTTGCACCTTGCCCTGTGAATTGCTTCGGCTCCTGCTTGCATGTACCTATTATTAATGTAAGTATTGAAGAGGAACAAAGTGTTAAAAGTGCCTTCAATTAATTCAACACCAATGGCAATGAGCCTAGAAAAGAGGGTTGAAGGTTGGAAAGAATGTATAACAAGAATTCTTGGAATTCTTACAGATTCTTGATTGGTGCTGAGCTAACCAAGCACAAAATCGTATCTCTTTGGTTAATTTAAGACCCAAAGTATTTAGGGATAACCGACCACTCAGTCAAGTTCTTGACATTGAATATGTAAATTTGCAACATGATGAGCCATGGAGCTGGGATATCTCCCCAGAGAGAATTGGGATCTATTCCTCATAGAGCACCACATCCCACCGTGTATTAACAAATGCCGCATTTGTACCTCACACTGACCTCACAACCACAAAACAATGGATATGCCGCATAGGGGTGGCAACGAGCTGAGTTTTTCACAAGTTGCTTGAGTTCGGCTCATAAAAAGTTCGGTTCAGCTTGATTTCAATTGAGCTCGAGTCTATTAGAGCTCGGTTTGTAAGGCTCGCAAGCCGGCTCAAATATATATATATATGTATAATAAAAATATTATAATTTTTATTTTTTAAAATATCAAATAAAAAATATTTTTGTATATACTTTTTTATTTTTATAAAATATTTTTCTCAAAATCGAACTCAAACTTATAAATTTTTTACTCAAGTTGAGCCCGAATTCAATATTCTGGCTCGAACCGAACTTGAATTCAAATTTAAACCTTATAAAACAGTCTCAAACCAAACTCGAACCTCATACTATTTGACTCGACTTGGCCGAAATCCACCCCTAAATTGCCGCATCAGCTCAATATTCTAGAAAAGGCCAATAAAACATGGGTCTATGGGTATTAATTGCTTGAAAGCCAAGCTAAGCACGGAAACACATAAAGCCATCTGCCCCATATCCTCAAATTAATACCACCATATATTAGTAAAGGTAAGATGTCGTCATATATATATATATATATATATATATTTATTTATTTTACATTGACTCCGTTATATATGATATATCCACAAAAGAAAAAAAAAGTGGTAACATATCTTGTTTAATTTTTCTTTGATTAATACTTATAGACCATGCAGCAGGTAAGGTAACAATTAACAGAGGTAATCTAATATACAAATATAATATATATTAATTAATCAATCAAACGTCATATGTTGTCAAGGTTCGTAATTGGCTCAGTAAATGTAAATGGCCACAGACTGCTTCTTCCGCCACCCTTTGTTAAACTCTTTAATTGAAGTTGATTGTGTTTCACAATGGAACTCTTTCGATTCACGGTGGTCAATGAGAATTTTGTAGCCGTTGTACTTCTTGTGCTATTAACGATAATGAACCATTGGCCAGAAGGGTCACACGTATGATCTTTGGTTAAGCATTTGCATTGGCTAGTGATGATGGTGTTAGTGTTAGAGTCGACGTCGATGCACACGGTGCTACCATTTGTAAGATTAGATGAAATGTGCATCTTCGAGTCCGATATCATATCCCATCTCGAACTCAAGTCACTGCAGATGATCCCAAGCTTGGCTGCCTCTCCCAATTCATCAGCTTGTAAACACAAGTTTGTGTCCTTGAGAGATAAAGTTTTCTCAGGTGTATAGCTCCAGGCTTCAGATTCAGTACAAGAACCTAGCTTTAATAGCTCCATCATTAGAGATTTCCTTACCACACAAAGGCCAGTTGATGGGTGGAATATTACTTTGTGTGGCGTCACCTCTGAAGAAAGACCTGGACCTGCATTAATTTTGCATTCAAATTAATTTATAATTATATATACCTTTCTAATAACGATGTATACAAACAAAACAGCTGATCAAACAGATATATACCTTGGAAGGGAGATTGGAGCGCAGAGATCTGTTGAACGAAGGTTGAATTACGGATGTTATTCCAGTCCCAACTCAGCACCCCATAAGTCTCATCCATCCCCACCACCCCCTGTCTCAGATAGTACCTCCCAACCAGTGTCCACAGCGCCCAATCCCAATCCAATTGGGCTGCAACACCAAGAAAGCAATTCAAGAACCTATTGTCATTTACATTGGTGCCTCTCTGATCCACACCAAACTCACTGATAAACAGTGGCCAGCCTCGATCCAACAAAAAACCTCCTTTTCTCATCAAGTTATTCACAACAGTTGCACAAACTTGATTTGGGTTGCCCGTCTCCCACGCCTTACCGTCGGAGAATGCATACCAGTGAAGCTCGAACACTAACTTCCCGGAAAATGTTAAGTTCAGTGGTTGCTTGGCCAGGAAACTGAAATCCTTGTCGTAATTTAGGCCGGACAGTATAACGAGAACGTCGGGGTTGGCTGAGTGCACCGCTTCGCCTCCTTGTTGCATGTATCTGATCATGAATCATGATGAGGTGTATTCATCTCCAATGTTACACAGTGAAACAGGTGTTGATTGAAATGAAAAGTATGATGATTATGATTTCTCAAAGTGTAACTGTGTCGCAGGCAGGACAATCCAGAGACACCCCCTCAAGCAAATGTAGAAAATTTGATGAAACCTCACGTCAGATCAGCTGGTAATTTTAGTTGTAGGGAAATTTACAGTTCAGTGTTCAGTCCAGCTCAGGGTTTTTATTAGTTTCTTTTTGGGTTTTATTTACCTAACACCTCTCTTCATCTATGTATGATTCAGTACCCCGGAATTTGATATCACATGAAATTCATAATAATACTACCTGTCACTATTCCAACTGCGGGGCGCTGATGTGAATTCCTTGAATTTTGATTCATAATACTACCTGTCAATTCCAACTGTATAAATTGTATATGGGGCGGATTGAACAATAAATAAAAGGTTAAGTACTCTGCATTGCGGATTGAACAATAAATAAAAGGTTAAGTACTCTGCAATCCAATGCAAATGACATCCCCCTACCCCTTATAAATCGCATCCTGTCCATGAATTTAGCATCAATTTATGGCTGGTGAGGTTTCAAAATTCTGACCTGGACTGATTAGTCATTTCTCTAAATCGGTGTTACATGCCATCATGGTTTCTTGTCAGAGATTACATGCTACCCCAATGAACCCGGATTTGCTCCTTACATAGTGCACCTCACAATGCTCTTAGCTGTTAAGGCTGTAAGTCAGGCCAGGTTAGGTCGGGTTGAGGCCAATCCTAAGTTTTAAACCCCCAACCCAACCTACCCAACTCTAACCAAATTCCTTTAACCCTAACTAAATTCTTCCCATCCTTTAAAATCTCGTATCACTTCTTAATCTCAAATTTTAACTCAACTTTTCACTACATATATTAATCCTATGTTTTATTAGTATTTGTTTGTTGATTTTTTATTGGTTCTTTAAGTACAAAATTCAAAAAAAAAAAAGTGTTTGAAATGGTTATAGTTTATTATGAGTTCTAGCTTATACTAGATCTTTTATGGGCAATAAGCTATGGGTGACAAACAACAAAGAGGAGATAAAGAATAAAATATTCAAAAAATATAAAAAATGTTATTAAGGTTTTGGTATTTCCAATTAGGATTAAGTGAAGTGATTATCTTAAAAGAAATAAATAATAGTATGTTGTAGGGGTTATACAACTATCTTGCATATAAACAAATCAATGTATGATATCATATATATATATATACATATATATATATAAATATATATAACATATATTTATATATGCTATGTACTATAGAGTCGGGTTCGGGTTGGGTCGGATTGCCCCAAGAGTCAACCTTAACCCAACCTGAAGTAAAATCGGATTCATAAATTTCAACCCTAACCCTAACCTGAGCATCAACCCAACTTTTTCGGGTTGGGTTTGGGCCAACCTGGCCCAAGTTGTAGCCTTATCAGCTGTGCATGGAAACCTCTCTCATACTTGGACGTTATCATTCATAGAAATGAATTCGGATTTATTCTTTACAAGGCCCCTCTCAGCCATGCATTGGAAACATCTTCCAATGAATCATAATTAGGGCTGTTCATAAGAAGGCCCAACCCGACCAAACCGACTAACCCGGACCGACCCAACCCGAGTCGGTCGGGTTATCTTCAGCACTGGTCGGTTTCAGGTTGTAAAACATCATAAACCGATCCGAACTGAACCGACTTAGTAGTTACTAGTTAGTTCCTACTTCCTAGTTAGTAGTTACAATCTACTTAGTTCCTACTTAACTAAGTTGTCTTTATCCTAATTAAAACCTAACTTAATTTCTAGTCTTCTAGTTAGGAATAACATTAATGGCAAGTATTGTAAGACAACTAGACAAGGAATTTTTTTGGAACTGTTTAAAGAAAAGAATCAAAAGATCCTAGTTTCTATGGTCTTTTACACCAAATAGGCAACCAATTACAATTAGAATTAGGTGTCATTTTTTACTTAGATTAGAAGGTTTCTTGAAATATACAAATTTCAGTCTTCTTTCTCTAATACAGTTTGACTTTCTATTTTCTTGATAACTTTTATTCTAAGTTTCTAACTTGGTCTGCCCCCATTATTGTAGTTGAGTTTCTGTCAAGCATGGTTGAACTTAGAGCCGAAACCGACCCAAACCGACCCAACCCGACTCAAACCGACCAGGTCGATTTTGTTTAATACTGGGTCGGTTTTGGTTTCAAGTTCAGGTAACCCGACCAGGTCGGGTCGGTTGGAAAAACCTCAATAAATCGACCCAACCCGACCCGTGAACAGCCCTAATCATAATTTATAAGAGATGTTTTCAATGCACTACACCAAGTGTTGTGAGGCGCCCTCCATCGAGTTCACATTTGCTGTGTGACGTTGTGGGGCGCAGATGTGAACTCGATGAAAACACCGACATTTTAACTGAATTAACTAAATGTGATGTCTTAGATTTATTTTGGTTTATTCTACATTCATTGTATATCACATGCCACCATGGTTGCAGCATTATATCCTCTTAATTACCTACCTCTACTTTAGCTACACTAATGAATCTGGGATGGTGATAGTGCAGCCATGAAAATTTTGCTCCTCCCTGAAAGTATGTATTAATTCCACCATCTCATGGTGGATGATTTGTTAAAATATGTAATTTCAAGATGGAGTCAAATAAAAACTCACCATAAAACCTCAATACCGCAAGTACTCATTTGGGGAGGGGGAGGGAACTTTTATGATGCTAGCTGCTTTGCAGAGCAACAGTACATCATTCATCATCGGCTTTGGAATGGAGCCGAGTGGATCCTAAATCTCAGCTATACCGAGTCATTGGTACCATACCTTGCAATTAAGGCCCCATTTGGTTCGTAGAAATAGGGGTCTGGAATTGGAATCGAAATTCGAATGATCTATTCTGATTCTAACTGTTTGGTTGGGTAAAATCGGAATCCCATTTTCATCCTATGCCTCACTTGAGAATAAAATCTCATTTCTATTGATTCTAATTTTTATTTTCATTTCTATTTGAATCAAACAGATTATGGAAATAAGCCATTCCAATTTAGACTCCAACAAAATTCGATTTCCATTTCGAATCTGATTCTGATTCTCACCACAAATCAAACGAACCCTAAAATTGTCCATAAAGCTTATATAGGAGTAAGACCCTCTAGATCTATATTTTTATTTCACTGAATTAACCCGCTAATCCCATGTATATAAGAAAGAAAATATGCAGGATCGATGCACTATGCAGCAATGCAGTGTTGAGGGTTGGTTGAGGTAATTAATATATATATACCTGTACCAATCCTTGACGTTCTGCTTGTTGCCTCTGAGTTCATTCCTTAAACTCATACCAACGACATTGGGTGTAGCATTAAACATGGTGGCCATCGAGGTTAATCCCTTAATCCAAACGCCTGGATCAAAGTATTTGTCACCAAAGAAACCATTGCCGTCAAAGCTGCTGCAACACCAACCCGGCTTGCTTATGTGGTTGTCTAATATCACCATCAAATTGTTCTCCCCAAGGTTTGATACCACCGCCTGATCACGTTTACAGTACTATTCATTTTAACCATCATTCAAACATAAATAAATATTAACAACCTCATTGTTCGTTCTACCCATTAACATAATTAGCTAGCTTTTTTAACATATATATAAACTATTGTTTATGAAGGGGACTTGTTTTGGCTACATATTAATTGTTAGCCAAAGCCAAGGATTAAAACATCAAAATGCTTGATACATTGCTGTGTATTCACTTAATTATAAAATTATTTATTTTATAATTTTTAGAGCTTGGTTTGTTTTAAGGGTCGTTTATTAAAATATCCCCTATAGTTTGTAATTAATTTATCTAATTAATAAATCTTCTATTAGATGAAAGTGAAAAATGACAGTTTTAACATTAACATCCATTCAAATAAATTTAATTTAAAGAAATTAAAAACAAAATTATCATTTTTGACCCTAGTAAAACACAGACAATCATTCTATTTTTCTCTAATCGGTCAATTTTGTTTTCTATACATAAAAAAAAAAAGTATTAAGAATACTTTTTGAATAAACAACCATGGATTCATACCCTTGAACATTTTCCACTCAGTTTAGGGGTACTTTTGAAATAAACAACCATGGGTTCGTGCCCTTAAACATTTTCCACTCGGTTTAGATGAACATGTTACTATTTTTATATGGCAAAACAAACAGTTCTTAATGAAAGATCGATTAAATAAATAGGTCATTAATTATAAAGGGTATTTTACCAAAATACAAGCCATAGGATAAATTTAAATAAATCTGTAAAATTATAAGGGGTATTTTAATAAATGACCCTTATTTTAAATGTTCTAATTAAAAAATTGATATATCAATGTATCCAAAGCTATTGATTTGGATGCATCCATGTCCACATGATATGCTTATATTGTATAGTCCTTGTTCCTACCTAGTAAAGCGAAACTACATACCCTTCCCTTTTATATGTGCAAATTCGTATGGCAAAAGATTTGGCTGATGATAACCACCACCCACATCACTTTCAATGTGAGGGTCTGTTGACACTGGATAATTACTAAGCAGCACAAAATATGGTTCATGTATCTTGATTAAATGAAAACGAAATTTATATATGTATATGATTTTTTCTTTTTTAATTAGAAGAAATTAAAAGGGGTTTTAATTAATTTAAAATAATAATTACCTGATATGCTTGGATAAGTGGAAGATCAACCAGAGATGGATTATTGACTTGGATGCCTACAATAGTCTCAGAAAGACCGAGGCTCCTGAACGACTGTCGGACGGTAACTGAAGCTAACGAGTCGTTGGTGGCCAAGAACAAAGGCCAAGTTAGCCTCACACAATTGAATCCCATTGATACAATCCTCTTGGATATCACGTCCAAAGGCCGTTTGCTCAGGCCCTCCGCCACCATGGCTTCGAGGTGCGATGCCCAATTCACGCACGCCAACTTCACTCGTTGCCCATCTTCATCGACGATCCACCGTGAATTGGTGTAGAGCGGCAGAGCAACCGCAACCACCGGAGAAACGATCAGAAAAGCAAGAACGACAAACGAGAAAGAGAGCTTCTTCATGTTTTAACCATATATATAATATAATATAATGTTAATTGAGTTTCTAGCTCAAACGACGTACGTGATGAGCATCTCCGGTGCATGATGAGAAGGGTGGACTGCGTCCACCAAGTATCAAGCATCAACCTTAGCTCCCTGGATTTCTCAGGAGTTAGCCCAATTTGACTGATAGTGATACCACTAGTTCTACAATATTGAGAACAGATTTCGAAAAAGCCACCCGAGAGTAGAGTGAATATATAGGCAAGTAGCAAGCTAGCTTGGGAAAAAAGAGGGTTGGGACTTGGGCATGGTTAGTTGTTCACGTACGTAATCAGGCTTACGCATTCGTAAAGAAAAGAATTTAGAGAGAACTCGTCCTAAATCCCATTGAAATTATTTGAGCAAGAGCTGTCAACCCTCGGATCAGAGGGTTTGGAATAATGAGTGGCCTTGATTGCCTCGTATGTCATGTCATCCACTTAACACTTGAAAGCAACGTATGTTTTTGCTTCACGTTGTCTTCATTTTATTTTATTGTTTTGTTTTGTTGGGCAAAGAAAATTGATCTTTATCATTAAAGCAAAAACAATAAAAAGATAGGGCATTCTTGATTGCAGTGCAAATTTCTAGAGACCAAATTTCAGGTTTAAATGGGAGTGCAAATATTGGGAGGTTTTATTTGTAAAAGGGAGTCGGTTTGTCTACCACTAAAATGCAAAATAAAATGATGTGTCCAAGAGAATGAGGTACGTAGTAGGGCTGTGATCAGAGTGGAATCTCATCTAATTATTGAAAATTTGCATATCAATCCGATCTGAGATTTGAAGACCTTTTCATTTCAATTCGAGTCTTAGCGAACTTTGATCAGATTTGGATTTGTTCCGGTTCTTCTTTATTTATTTATTTTTTAAATATAAAAATTTAACTATTTTTTAAATTTTATATATAATAAATTAATATAAATATAACGTACTGAATTTATATATAGTATATATTTTTATAATTTTAAATATAATCATATATTAAAATCAATAAATATTATAATATAATCTGATTGGATGGAGTCAAATTCAAATCTGATCCAATTACAAAAATACATCATTTGAATCGCAGATAATCAGAAAAAAAAATGTCAGATCGGCCATGAATTTTCGGGCATCATTGACAGGCCTAAGGCTATGCAAGTTTTATGATATTTATGAGAAAATATTGAAGTAAATAACAAAGGAATTTAAAGGATTAGTCGGTCATGACACATCAGTAAATGAAAATCTATTTAAAACCCCAATTATCCTTTGGAGATTAAATGATAATTTTGCCTTTTAAAAGCAAACCAATTAATCTAACATTTTCTTAGGCATTTCTGTCAAATATATTATATCATATCCCTTACAAAATTGAAAAAAAAAAACAAAAAATAAAACAGGGAGATCGCATCAAGGTACCAGTTTTAAATTTCTTATATCGGTCCCCAATCTTCTGAGTTCTGAGGGCAAACTATACATTCAGAAAATCGAAAGCAAATTTCTTTGTACATATGCTTTCTTCTTCTTTGTACAAATTTCTTTAGCGGAAGTAGCGGTGATTAAATGATCATTATATTTAAAATTGGTAAACAATGTACTCCAAATTCAATTTCTGTTTGTCTAGAAAAAGATGATGGCTTTGAACCATTTAAACTCAGATATATGGCCAAATTTTTTAAGGTAGGAAAGAAGAATTGCAACCCATTTAATCTCAGAGAATATAGCCATATATAGATTGTAAGCTGTTTGGGAAAATTAAACCAAATAAGAAAGGGAAACCTGCAACTCAACAACTTCACTTCTGATGAGGTCAGGTCACTCAATTTATGATTTTCTATTATTGTAGCCTTAGCTTCATATATAAAAGGTAAAAGAACAAAGAGAAACCATATATATGAAGGCCATCTTCTTCAACCTTCAAGGAAGTACAAGTATTCCAGCCACAGACATTAATTACAAAATAAGCACAGAGTATCAAGAAATTGACATTCAAGCAATCTTCCCAAGAGAGTACCTCGAACTCGAAGACAGACCATAGAGGTGATGGCCCGTTAGAGGCCTATAAGAACATTTCAAAGGAGAAGGGCTGACCTGCAGGAACAAATAATTACCAGAAAAAAGGTCGCCCATATGACCTCTGCTTTCCTTCAACCTCTTCACAACCTTATTCCAGGAAAGTCTAGCAGCAGTTAGTAACCTTGCTCTTCTTCTCAAGAATCTCCTTAAGCCTGGGATTCTGATCCTCGATCTCTTCTTGTTGCCCAACTTTCTAAACCTGAACCAGCTTCTTGTTCTCCGGAATGCTCTCTCATCTCTTTCTTCTTCTACATCAAACCCACCTTCATTTCTGAATCTCTGATAAGAGAGTCTGATGGGTGAAGCCATTTCAATTGCAGACATGGTGGGGTGATTCCCGAGGAATTCAAGGAGAACCCAAACCAAATGGAGTTTACAATTAATGGATGAAAGATGAGTTGGGCCTCTTTTATCTTCACGGGTTCTGGTAATCTGATTTACTTGTTCCTTCTTACTTTGCCAATAACCACAAGAGAGAGGTGGCATGCATAAGCTGTTGAGTGCATTAAATGCCAGAAAGGAGTTCTAGTAGATGATGATGTCTGTGGGTAACCTGAAACTGGTGGTTGGCCGCTTTGCAATGGTAAATCACATTTATTAATTCCTTCTACAGTCTACACGACAAGACAAACAACTGAATTTACAGAAATCGAGCAGCTAGCGTTCCCTCGGCCCCTCCTCCTTTTCTCTCCTTCAGTACTGCATGCATGCAAAGGCAAAAAGGTCTGGTGTAAGTGGACCACGGTGGTTTGGCTTTAGTGAAGTCGTGTACCAAAGCCCTAGGAAAGCTCCCACTCCCAGGATGAGGGTATACTAATACTACTCATAATCGGCCTGTTGAAAGTTGAAACTTGGAAGAAAATGCATTTTTGCAAGAAAGTACCTTCACAAACATTGCCATTTTAAGGAACTCTCTTAACCGTCTGATTTTAGTCTCATGAATGGTAATGGTGGGTCCTGATCGGCTGATCCTATGACTCAGTAGTGTAGCACCATTCGATGAGATTGAGGCCTCTCAGACAGGAGACAGACCATATGTGAAGTCATGATAATTGATCAGCTTCTGGGCAAATCCTAATTTGCGCTGGTTGTAAGTGTAAGGGTGTTAATGGACAGGTTTTGGGTTGGACCCCGTTCAAACCAAAATCCATTTGGATGGATTGGACTGGACGGACTAGCAAGGCATATTGAATTGGACCAGTTCAGACTTAGTCCAAATTCATATTGCATTGAGTTGGATTGAACCAATATCTGGTCCATTATAAGAATATAGGTGTCAATGGACCAGGTTTGGATTAAAATTTATATAAATTAAAACAAATTTGAACAGATTCAACAGTCTAAATATTGAATTGGACTGATTCAAATGGACCTGATCCATTTGTAATGCACTCAGCCACTCACATTTAACTGGATCGGATTGGACCAAATCCACTCCACAAATGACAAAAGTTTTATGGTATCAAAGCGATTTAGTTCTATGTGCTGTATTTACACTCTTAATTTCTAACTACCACAGTCATGTAGATTGGATGGTCTTATTAATTGCAATGACTTGGATGATTCCTATTTCCCACCCGTGATATTTCATTTTCATATGCAGTCTAAACTTGTCAAAATCTGATGTCCCATGTAGATAATAATTGATAACCAAATTGGCGAATGAGAAGGGTAACCAATAATGATCCCATTAATTCCATACATCAAAATTCCGAAACTATGGTTTTCCTCCTTCACCATTCAGAGTAATTGCCAAAATAAAACGACCATAAATCTAATTTTCTAGGTGGGATTTCCATTACTATTTTCCGTTATACCCACCTGCTTTTATGAATTCCTTTTAGCCCAGTTCATTTCTCAGTCTGAAGCATTTCAGTTCAGCGACTTGTCAATTTTCATTTACCCATGAAGAAAAACAAAAAATAAACCTCTTTTCCGAAGATTATATATTACAAGTTTTTTGCACCAACCAGATTATGAGAGTTTACTTGCAACTGATGCTTACCATCCAATAGACTCTAATCTATTGTACAAGTAATTCAGAGATGTCATTTTCTCTGTTTTTTTTTTCTTTTTTCTATTTTCTTTTTTTGGATATTATATATTGGGATTATCCACTTGCTCGGGCGATACCTTTGTGGAGAGGTGATATGCCGATTCCATACCGTCTATCAAGTAAGTGATCATCCAGGAGTTGGCTTGATTGTCACTTCTGTGCTCCTAGTCTCTTTCTACTTTCATATCCAATTATTAATGCATTGTATAAAATATAAAAACATCTCTGAGGCTTCTGACAATTATAAAAATCTCCCCTTAAGTTTTGAAAATTCCTACAGTTACCTCCCTTCCATCGTTGTCTGAGCCAGAAAACATTGGCCTAATGTATTAATTTTTTGAAACTATCCATTTTACCCTTATGTGATACTCGCAAAAAAAAACTTTTATTTAACTAATAGAGTTCCCTAGGTGAGATTAAAAAGAATAAAATAGTTTCATTTTGTAAAGTCATCATGATCTAGTGAAATCTAAAAGGGCAGATCTGGCATTTTGATTATATTGAAAGATGCCCTAACAAGTAGTAAGATCAATTTTATAACTTCTAAGCCTCTATCGTTGAGACAATAATGCTTTAATTTTGGTAATGACCGAAGAAGACAATAATGAAAGGAAGGTAACTGTAGGTTTTTTGAAAACTATATGGAAGGTTTTTCTTAAAATGAAACCTCAGGGGATATTTTTATATTTTACCATTATGCATTTAGTTATTTTCACTTCTCAGTTCTTTTAAAATTTCAGCTAAAAAAATTTGCCTTGATAAAATGCCATTCTTTAGTGACCTCTTTTTGTCACTGTTAATCTGTTATTGGCCATTCAAGTTTTTTTTTTTTTTTTGCCTTTTTCTTTCAATACTTGAGGGTATCTCCCTCCTTTACTTCTCTATATCCTTTGAAGTTGATCGAACACTTATATCCTGCCGCGTAGCGATACCATCAGCTCGTGCTGCATTGCATCCACTGACATCCCCATAGGCCGTAGTTACCAGACCTGCCAAATTTAAAGATGTAGGCTAATCCAACTGCAATGGAACCATTCTTGGTGGCTGAAACCTTGGTTGATGGAAAATAAGAAACAGAAAGTTGAGGAAAAGATCTTTCTTGATTTGGTGTAGGATTTAGAGGTCGAAGAAATCTACCTTGTAAATAAAACAAGAATGGCTAAATGTACTTTGATGATGAGTTCAGAGAACAGTTGATCCAAATAATATAACTAGATCTCGGCGAGACACACTACCAAAATGGACATTCCAGACTGGCTAACAAATGGCTTACAGTCCATCCTCTCAATGAATTCTTAAATATAAACGCCTTTACTTTACAATACTGGAGTAAGAAGTAAGAACAACACCATCCTACATCAATTCCTCTAAACCTGTTTGTAGAAGAGAACATAAGCCTGGTCATGCAACACCTTGCTTATGCTCACGGCAGTGACCGATGCATCATCATATCTCAGCCACTGACCATCAGTGTAGCGGGCATCAGCAGTGTAATGCCCCTTTGAAGGTTCCCTTCCATGGTGAGTAATCGTTGCAACAAGCTCATATCTCCTACCCTACACAAAGTACGAGAACTAAGAAGCAAGAGATGTCTCATCAAATTTTTAATAGATTCTCTCCCATCTACCACCCATAATCAGCAACTCTCCTATTAGGTTAAGTCCCAGACAATACAAGTTTACAATCAACTGGATATTTTTGACTTATTCATTAATTAAAGAAAATAAGCCTATTCCATTAATCCAAACAAACGCTACATGATATATATGCCACCAATGGATGGAGAGAGCTCAACAATACCAACCCTATTCTTCAGCTCTCATCAAAAGGTTTCAAGTATGCGAAACAAAAGAATGAAAAGATACCAGGAAACCCCATCCAATAAATGTAGTATCATCATTTTAGACGAAACCTGAGAGAACCCTTCAATTTTTTTTTTTTTTGATCAATAACACTTTCATTAACTCGTCAATAGAATATTTACAATAGGAAGACAAACACGCTTATCTTCCAAGAGCAACAAAGAACCTCAAGAAAGGAAAAAAATAAAGAAAGAAAACACACTATAGTTACAGCTTAGCCCAAAACAGCGAGTCCCTTTCTGCCCCTTGTTTAGCTAAACCGTCAGCTAGGGAGTTATGCAGAAGAGAAGGAACAAACACCACAAAAAAGGTAGAAGATAATCACTACTTCATTCAATCAGTTTCTCGAACCACTAGGGCATTCTCTGGCGAAATGGCCTTCCTCCCCACAATTGTAGCAGTTCCCACCACCAAATCCACCTCCACCATACCTTCTTCCACCATTGCCACCTCCACTTTCCTGATAACACTCCCTCGAAAAGTGCCCAGTCTCACCATAGTTGTAACAAGCTCCACCACCACCGCCACTATTCCTTCCACTACCACCTCTTCTGCCTCTGCCACCACCCCCATTAAAACCATACCCTCCACCACCATAACCACCTCTGCTTGCACCGTCATAACCACTTCCAAATCCGTACCCACCACCACGTCCACCTCTACCACCACCACCACCGTAACCATCTCTCCTGCTTCCTTGAATGTAAGATCAGTTAAGAAGCAGTACTATAATTGACCATTATCTTCACAATCAATAACATGAACAATTCATTCATATGCAAATCAGGTCCTGAAGACCATCATTTTTAATCAATTCCTAGCATCCAAGTATCCAAATGTATCTTGGGGCCTGAATTTTCTGGTGCAGCATATTCTAGGCATATCTTTGATGGTTCAGATGTAGGAAGCTGTCCAAAATACTTTGCCATCACTCCATAGAACCATCCTAACACCACTCATTGCATTCAAGACAGCTATGGATAGTTAAAAAGTCTTAAGTTTTGCCAACTAACAAGACCAGAAGGACCTTCCATGTCTTTCTTGAAATTTGGAGCCTACTCCATTATCTTCACTCAAGCCCATCTTTCCACTCTGTTTTATAAGGTTCATACTAATATATTGCTTGGCTGAAAATCAAATTTCACAAGAGTGACCTATGGTTGGTGAAGTATTACATTGAGAAGTTGGCAGCCACCCTAGGTTGTAGGAGTGGATCACTACCATCAAAGTTATTGGTCTAAGTTCAATGCATTTTGGGAACCCGTAATAAAGAAGGTTTGGGCAGAAACTTGCAGGTTGGAAAAAGTCTTACATGTCCAAGGAAGGTGTAGAGAAGACTGATGTGGGCCCCACAGCTACGGTCCCACTGTGTTCGTAGGGTAGAAGGTGTTCTAGTCTTCCTAGGGTCAGCTGTTGGTCATTTAGTTGTTTCAGTTATTTGTTTCAGTCTTATTTTGCTCTATTTGTTATGTAAAGACTAAGGGCAGATCTGTCCTTTCCATGTAATGAGCATAACCT